GAACCTTTTGTTTTGCGTGGTATGCTATAAAATAACATCCTTATCAACTAGAATTATTTTTACTATATACATCCCTTCTGGAAATGGCGTAAGTGAAATGGATCCGACATAGCAAAGGGAGACCGGAAGGGCTATTTCTGGCTTGTTAGCCGTAATCAGCCAGTTATGCAAATCTTAATTGTTGGAACCCTCAAGATTTGAACCCGAAACCTTTGGTCTTTTAATTTGATATTCTACCACGGCACCACAGGCTCCTTGCATAAGTCGTTAGTTTATATTTGTGATATTAGCCCGATCAGCCTTTGGAGAATTATTAACTAGAGAACAGTGCATATAAGTAGGAAAGGTGGACAAAAAACCTTGCACAACCGAACAGCATGACGGCTGTATTCGTCGCACATTGAAAGGATACCATTATATGCCCGTTAAGACTACCCACACTATCATACCTTTTCATATTGGAACAGCATTTTTTGTGAGGAAGTCCTATTTTTAGATAAGTCTCCGAAGTCCACCCAAGCGGTCCTATACAGAAATCATTTTCTCCGATGTTCTCGGTATTGACAAAAACTTTCAAGCACTTCCGAAGCCTAATGGTATCAAATGCGGAGAGCGGCCGATCAGGCGGTCGAGGAGAGGAATCTTAAACAGAAGGGTATTTGCCGACACCGACGGAATACCTTCTGTTAGAAAGGCATTCACAGATGCTAATGGACACTGAAATTTTGCAAGCTGACTCCTCTGTTTAAGTCCAAAGAAGTTATTATTATAATTTACTTTACGATTACAATCTAATTTTTAGACCCCAGTCAGCCTTTCTGCGTGCGGCCTGCGGACACTCCTGACCATAATCCCACCGAAAAACTCTTAAGCTAATTCAACGAGAACTGGGACAACCCGAAGAAACATATTGCAATGGAGCAGGAGTTAGAGATTGTATTTAATAGTTGTGTAGACTAAACAACTTTTAACAACTTAGTTGCCTCTATGGGCTCCCAACTTACGGCAGTTTTAACGCTTGAGGCCAATTAACAAAATCTAAGTCTGTTGTATTTTTATTACGTTTCCTTTTTGTGTCGTTGCATCTTATTTTGCTACACTAACGTCAGTTATATAAAGCCTCCGTTAATTGGCTTTTCGTACAGTCTTTTGTGATTTGATGAATTTCGACGTAACAACTTAGTTTTCATCTAATAAATTCTGCTTTGTAAACCAAGATACCAGTTCTGTTAACATTGGTCGTTTCTTTAGCACGGTGTAACTTGCGGGTGCCTGGGGGAAACGATTAACGCACTACAAGAGTTTTAATGTGAAGTTGATGGTATTGCATGTGCTCCAGCCCGCACGGGATGTAATTTTAAATAAGGCATTACAGTACACATCCTTACTAAAGGTATCATGCTAGTTTAGGTCCCAGATCAGCATACAATAGCCCCACCCTTCTGTAATACAAGACCGGGTGAAATAAAGAGTATACAGTCGGGACAATTATGCAAATATTGGTAAATAAATAGATTTAAAAATAACTAAAACTAAAATCAATTAACTAAAAAAGGAAAATTAAGAAATCTAAACTGACTTTACCTTAAAAGAGAACTGAAAGAATAATAAAAATAGTTAACGCCATAATGAACTGAGAACTAAACCGAAAACTAAACGTAAATAAAAATAAGTTTAGTGAAACAAATAAAATAAACTCAACTAAAGTTGTTGCGCATGTAAATTGAAGGTGTGCGCGGCGCTTTGTGCCGCGAACTATACTAACCCAACTCAGAATGGTAAGTTGGACCCCAAGTAATTTAAAGTAGACGCCATCCGAAACACCATTTTTTCAGGAATCTCAAGAAACCCAATAGACTATGAAGCAAAAGCGAATAAAAATGTCCAAATTCGTCAAACACAATAAAAAAATAAGTAAGTAAGAAATATAAGTAAACTTCTGTGTTTCTTTATAACGCGGTGTTGTGCTGTGAAAATTATTAGAGTATTTGAACAATTTCTGGGACCTAAGCTAGGATTCCACTTATGCTAGTTTCCGTAAAGCATTCATTTTAAACCAAAATACTTTATTTACCAGGTTGAAAACGAAATTTAATGGACTTTTATAAGACCCTATCACTCCGCCCTCCCTCATCTTGCGTAAGCATGTCCTGATGAAATTGCGCATGACTGCTACTTTTTTTAATTCAGCAGGGCATCAGATAACGCCAAAGTCGTCCCTCACGTGCTAGACAATAAATCTTTTTAGTGTTTAATGCCAGTTTGAAATCGCATCGCCGGCTTATAATTAGTCAAAGACATTTGTAGACAATTGCGGAAACCGTCCCCAAAGGCTGGAGAATAAAGACAATGTCCTCGATGGGCAAACGCTGGATGGCAGCACTGACGCGTCCGTAGGTGAAAGGCTATTGGCTGGGACCGGACACCGCGTGACGAGTTGGTAAGATGGCTGCGTCCTCTCGAGCCGACAGTCATTGCAAATAGTTTTTGAAGGCACTCGTTCGCACACCTGCGGCAGAGCCTAATCCCGCAGTGAAATCATGAGTTTCTACTCTAAGGTCTTCAGCCAGAGCTCGTTGGTTCCGCTGGCGAAAATCGCCAGCGCACAGACCCGTGCACAACGTATCATTTGGGTCACTATCACAGCAGCCATGTTTATGGGTCTGTGCACATGCATAGCCCTGGTTACGCTGCAGTACTCTCGACATCAGACTGTCTTCCAACTGGACTACTCGGGTCGTCACACAGTCTACGATCAGATGCCCGGCATCACCATCTGTCCCGAGGGCAAGGAGATGCTGCGTCTGTTTAAGCACGCCTCTAAGGCCAATGGCTGGCCGGAGACGAACGTCAATCCACCCTGGGAGTACCCGCCCATTACGAGGGCACTGTTGGAACTGATAACAAACGCAACGGATGAACCTCCGGGGGTCATCGGCCATTACCTGCCTCGAGGGGAGCTCAAGTGGGACAGCCAGCAGACGGCCAAATCACCCATTTATCGGAGGTTGCACAACTTTTCGGTGCAATTTCGAATTAAACCAGCACACTTGCAGTCCACCTATCAGATCTTTGTTCAAGAACAGGTAAGATTAGTTGCTGAAATATGTTGCCATGTTTATGTGCTTTTTTAAATGGTTGGTATGTGTGAACACGTTATTCAGTACTTCAATATTCAATACTTCTTGCACTTGCACCTATTAAAATTAGCATATCATGCATTTATCGCCAAGTTTTGGTATTTGATGAGCTGCTGACACGGTCACCCACGATGTCAGTCTTGTTGCTGTCGATGGGCTTGATGACGACTCAGCAATCCAGAACACCCTAATAATTTCCGTGAGCAGGGTTCAGTTGTATACCCTTCGCGTGCCAACGTATCGTTCATGGATAAAAGCTGGACTCGGAATTGACTGAGAGATCATTGCGTCTAAGGAAAAAGTATGGACCAGTGAAGCATGATCCATACGGTCCGCAAATCAGACGATGAGCTATTTCAGCTGCGGCTAGGCCCGACCGCGGCTCCCGCAATTAAGCCTAAGGCAGATATTCGTTTCCTGTGCTTGATCTTCGGGTCTTATCATCCAGCACTAAATGGCTGCCTATATTTTTTTGCTAGTCCAGTTCCGATACCATTAGGGCTTGCAAATCATCAGTTAAGCAGCCTCATCTAAGCAATCGTCCACCTCGAAAAACAAATCAGAGGAACGCATTCAGAGTTTCTCGGATCTTTGAGCATATTTTTTTATGTTTTATCGGAAAGCATCTACCTTCCTCTAGGGGACCAATCATACTCTCTTTTCTTCAGTAAATATCTCCTCAGTTGAGTTAATTGAAGAACAAAGTAAATGCTACTCCTCTTGTCATTCGACAAGCCATAAATTACAAGAGTACATAGAAAACGAGGGGGGTTTCACAATAACAAGAGGTTTTATTCGCCTAAAGCTTCGCATTCTCGCACGCATTAATCCACAGATACAGCTGCTGAGAAATGCCCTCTGAAAAAATGTGTGAAATAAAAACATAATTAGAAAATACGGAAGGGACTACGTACAACATAAATTCGGTATGAAATAATTATTTTGCCCAATTTTGAACCTGGTATTTTTTGCTTTATCGAGTTAGAACTTTTACTGCATTTTCCGTAAGCAATAAGAAATAAATTTTAACTTATCTTTTCAGTGTTTTTCCCGAAGTCGTTTTATTTAGAGCAATAAACTAGTATTTGCAGTATTCTCGTCCGTAGACAATAGCTTTTTTTCCAAAGGCAATTGACCTAATTTGTACTACCGCTGTATATGGCAAAATACAGTGGTCGCCGTTGACCACGTAATTTTCCTTAATTTGTATAAGTT